ACTTTTAAAATACTATTTTATAATCTTTATAATATTTTTATAAATGTTATATTTTTTTAATGATTTATTCGAAGTTTATTTATTCTGAAAAATATTCTTCTAACTTTCACAATTGTGACCCTGGACCACAAAACCAGTCATAAGTAGCACGGGTATATTTGTATCAATGGCCAACAATACATTGTATGGGTCAAAATTGTCGATTTTTCTTTTATGCCAAAAAATCATTAGGATATTAAGAACATGGGCCAATCTCTGAGTCCCCTATAATGGAAAATGTCATTTCATTTTTTTCCTCAGTTTGAAACTATGCATTCCATATGCTTGTTTTACAAGGATGGGTCAGCATGCATCCTTGTGCTTCTGACAGTGTGCTAATCTCAGTCTGGGCAGCTGCTTCTGGTGAGGGCTAAATGTCTTCAATGTGATATATATTGAAAGTTCAGCTGAGTAATCAGAAGCCATTATCAGCAGTTTAACTTCACACAAGCTTCTGAAGTCAATTATGCTGCATATAATATGCGACTGAAAGCACCCATTTGATGTAAAGTACTTACAGTGTCTATAAAATAGCTGTGCAAATACAGTAATGTCCATTGGCCTAATATATGGGAATATGAGTCAGTCTCAATGAAGAAGCTCTCAGAACGCTGTTGGAGGCCTCCAGAGAGGAAAGCTGCATCACTTGAAGAAAAGTGTAACTTTTTAAAAGGGCTTTTCTAACACTTCTTCTTGGTTAGGAAATTAGGGAAAGTTTTTTTTTCTTTTTTTTTCAACAACTTTGAAACTTAGGCGGAGGAGTGTTCTACATTGCCAAAAGAAAAGCAATTTCACGCTTCATTCCAAGATCTGAACACTACCTTATTGGAATTAACACCATTACACATCAAGACTAGAAAACTTTGTTCGCACATTAAACCCCTTTAATTATAAGTATGATAACAAACCATGTTAAGAAAGCTTACCATGATAGTAAATACTCAATAGCATCACCAAATACCTAAATTGCCCATTTAAACTATTTAATTCATAAGCATGTGTAAATACCTATTTAGATTTTGGTGTGAATTTGAGAAGTCATGCCCAAAAATGATATATAGGCTAACTTGCGCATACAGGCTTTATGAAGTAAATAATACAGATTTTTCATAAAGTAAATATTTAATACAAACTGTCATGGAATCTCAATTTAACATGTCAGTAATACTTAAATCTCAAATTCTGATCATAACAGCTAGACCACCAGAAAACAGGCTACTTGAAGACTTACCCAGCAGCCGGTAAAAAATGTGTGTCGGATCCCGATCTCATGGGAGTTTGAACTCATCCACTAGATGAAGGTACGTGTTACCACAGTGTAAAAAAAAAATATATATATATATATATATATATATATATATATATATGCATTTTGGTGTTTAGGAAAGTTGATGTTTTTCACGCTATTCAGTTAATCCCTGTCCTCTGCTGTCCTCTAGTGTCTGCAGATGAAACTACAAAGCAGGTACCAGGAATGTCTGCTGGTCCTGATGTTGTGGATGTAAAGTATTAATGAGAGGGGCTCAACAAACAAATGAGCCTCAGGTGTTTCAAAAAAAAGTTAAACAAAATACAATTTCTGATATTATGCCTAAAGAAAAATCATTAGTTTCGACCACTCTGTTTCTGTTTCCATAACAGCATTGCCATTGAGCTAACACACACTTACCATTTTTCTGTCCACCAGTTCATGTCAAACACAATATAAATCAATTAAAACACCCTAGTTATCTATTTACTGAAATCATTCATACTTCATACTTCGTCTAGGATTTCTAAGTTTCAGACCAGAAATTAAGCAAACAATAATCTAGAAGCTTGCGTTCTGCAAGTGAACGTTGCTTTATTATGCCATCTCAAAGAGGCACAAAATCACTTTCACAGACTTTTTCATTAAATGTTCCCTCCTGGTGGAATGATCTGCCCAAATCAATCTGAGCAGCTGAGTCCTTAGCCATCTTCAAGAATCGGCTAAAAACACATCTCTTCCATCTTTATTTGACCCTCTAACTCTAGCACTCTCTATTCTAATTCTATTCTTTTTAAAAATAAAAAAAACTTGCACTCTATTCATTTACTGCTACACTAGCTTTTCTAATCTTTTTGTATTCTATCTATGTTTTCTTTTTATTTATTATACAATTAACAAAAGCAAAAAAGGCCTCTAACACTAGTTTGCGCTATTCTTTTTCTATTCTATCTGTTTTCTTTTTATTATATAATTTAAAAAAAAAACTTGCTACTCGTACTGCGTTAAGCTAACTGAGATTTGTTATTGCACATGTATATCATAGCTCTTTTGTTGATTTTGATTGCTTCCATTGTCCTCATTTGTATGTCCCTTTGGATAAAAGCAACTGCTAAATGACTAAACGTAAATGTAAATGTCTAAAACAGCACAAAATGTGTGTTTTTCCATCACCCTGAATAGGATTTGATGGATGGATGGATGGATGGATGGATGGATGTGATGAACATTGTCATTACAAGTGTACTCTTAAAATATAATATGCTTTGTTACCAGTAGATGGCAGTCATCAGTCACAAATGTACACCTCAGAAGTTTAGAACAGAATACAAGGGAAAAGAATAGAACAAAGCTTGTAGTACCATACAACCGGTGCCATTTGAAACTGTATTTTTAAAATGAATTGTATTTCACTGGTAGGCTAAATCAACAAGGATCTCCAAACCCCTCAGAGTTAATCATATTTTCTTTATTTTTAATGTCATAACTTGGAAAATCCAGAATTCTTTAGGAGGCCTAAATGTCTTTGCACCTTCTAAACAAAGATAATCTTTTAAAATAATAACATCTCTCTCATCTCTATATCAGTCTCATACATAGAACCTGCTCACAGCTTGCCAAACTTGATCTACTTGTGCACCTTTTTCTCACACAAAACACATGGTACAGTAATTAAACTAGTTTAATTAAGACCCGTCACTGTTTCTATAGTTGTTGTACCAAAGTGATATGTAAAGCACACTTCAGAATCTCACTGGATGCATAAAGCAGTGCTTCCCAACCTTTTTTACTCCAAGGCAAGCCACCATCCACAAAAATATTTGAACGTCTCATTACTTTTTCAGTTGTTTGTGATTACAAATAGTTTTCAACCCAATAAAATATTTAGTGCTTGACATAACTATTGTAAAAATGGCCACTGAGTTATCGGAGTTTAATTTCATGATTTATCCAGGCCTAGAAATTACACTTTTAAAATGATTCTCTCTCATATGTAAATAACAGCTGGTATCCTTCTTCAAAAGAAAAAAACAGTTAAGGGAATTAAAACGTGAATTAAAATAGACATTTTGATTTTTCATTGTTTTTGGCTCATTTAATGCTTGTTACGCCCCCTTGGATCTTGAGCCCCCCTTGGAAATTTGCTGAGGCCCCTAGGTGGGCCCCGGGCCCCTGGTTGAAACCCACTGTAGTAGAGGTCATCCAGGTACTGTTCTCATATTATAAATACTACACATGCTGACATACTCATTTTAATTATTTCTTTTTGCAAACTATATAGTAGATGAGCTTAAGGCTACATTTTCACTTACTTATGAAGAAATGAATTAGGTTATTAATTGTTTTAATTAAAGTGTATAACAGAGCAAAATAAAGCTGCTAAGTGAAGCAGGATTTAATCTAAACAACGTTTGGGTCAAAGTAAGTTACCAAACATTCAAATGGTGCTTTGCCTTGTACTTGAAAAACGATACATCCCACTGAGTTATCGGAGTTTAATTTCATGATTTATCCAGGCCTAGAAATTACACTTTTAAAATGATTCTCTCTCATATGTAAATAACAGCTGGTATCCTAATTCAAAAAAAAAAAACAGTTAAGGGAATTAAAACGTGAATTAAAATAGACATTTTGATTTTTCATTGTTTTTGGCTCATTTAATGCTTGTTACGCCCCCTTGGATCTTGAGCCCCCCTTGGAAATTTGCTGAGGCCCCTAGGTGGGCCCCGGGCCCCTGGTTGAGAACCACTGTAGTAGAGGTCATCCAGGTACTGTTCTCATATTATAAATACTACACATGCTGACATACTCATTTTAATTATTTCTTTTTGCAAACTATATAGTAGATGAGCTTAAGGCTACATTTTCACTTACTTATGAAGAAATTAATTAGATTATTAATTGTTTTAATTAAAGTGTATAACAGAGCAAAATAAAGCTGCTAAGTGAAGCAGGATTTAATCTAAACAAAGTTTGGGTCAAAGTAAGTTACCAAACATTCAAATGGTGCTTTGCCTTGTACTTGAAAAACGATACATTTACACAGATTTAACAGTGTAGCATATTGTAATCACGCCGTTGATTCTAATGACTGCACGGCAGCTGCTTGATAATAACGCGAGCGTTCTACTTTTGTCGCGTCGCGCTCGTAGACACGGTGTTCAGCTCTACATCTCTTTCCACATCAAAGGGAAATCACACAAGTTCCAACAGTTCAACGGTGGGGAGGCTGCCAGCGCTTGAAAGGATCATTCGCCTCCAGTGCACCAAAGTAAACAAACACGCTTGCCCTCGGAAGTTGCATATTTCCATAAACTGCTCTATGGATAAAAAGCGTCCTTGAGTGCAGTCGGCGTTGTTTGCGATTAAGCTCGATATGTCAGAAAATCAGCCTCTTTGCGCTCTAGTTTTTTTAACTTCACTCTTCTGCTCGGTATGCTCACAGGGGACACGATTCGTTCATTCAGCTGCACTAGATGTGGATGGGAGATACAACATTAAGTGGGGATTTGATGAGTCCACGATCACTTTTGAGGTAGAAGTGGAAACGAGAGCGGTGGGGAGGCTGCCAGCGCTTGAAAGGATCATTCGCCTCCAGTGCACCAAAGCAAACAAACACGCTTGCCCTCGGAAGTTGCATATTTCCATAAACTGCTCTATGGATAATAAGCGTCCTTGAGTGCAGTCGGCGTTGTTTGCGATTAAGCTCGAAATGTCTGAAAATCAGCCTCTTTGCGCTCTAGTTTTTTTAACTTCACTCTTCTGCTCGGTATGCTCACAGGGGACACGATTCATTCATTCAGCTGCACTAGATGTGGATGGGAGATACAACATTAAGTGGGGATTTGATGAGTCCACGATCACTTTTGAGGTAGAAGTGGAAACGAGAGGATATATAGGATTCGGTTTGTCACCGACCGGTGCGATGTCCTCGTCTGATATCGTGATAGGTGGTGTGCTCAGCGGAAGTCCATATCTGCTGGTAAGTGTGCAAGCACCTTTGGGTTTGAATGCATCTCACATTCAACGCTGATTATACAGTTCAAGAGAACACTGACTCACATTTTAAAATCAGTCTGCTGCATTTGATCTCTGTAAATGTCGGGCTGGATTGATTATTATTATTTCTGTTTTAAGTGCTGATTATTCAAGTCATTTGAGTCTTATTTGGTGGTTGTTTTTTTTCTAACAAAAATGTTTGGGATGGATCTGTTTTGGTCAATCTTTGTTATGGATAATCTGCTATGGATCATCTTTTCTTCCATCCATTTAACTATAGCCTATAACAATAGCCTAATTGTAAGAATAAATAAGTTTTTTTTATTTTTTACTATCCCATAATGTCACTGTGCATTCATCAGAAAATAACAGTTCACACTTAACAAGCAGAACTAATCAAGTTATATATAATATATAACTTATATATAGTGTTGGGCTAGTTACTCAAAGAATGTAATATATTACTCATTACTAGTTACTCATTTGAAAAGTAATATTGTTACTTTACGATACTTTACTTTCTGGCAACAGTAATTAGTTACACTACTAGTTACATTACTTTTTCTTCGCACCCCACAAAAGTTGTAACTGTGCATCTTCCACATAACATTCTAGTGATTGATAGTGACATTCAAGTAGAAGTGTTGTATTAATCTCAGTAATTGTCATGTGTGGCTTTAAGCTAATTGTCATTTCTCCGTTACACATATACGATTATATCTCATTAAGTTTGTAAGAAACTTTAATTTTCCAAAAAGATTTTTAATTTTAGTAATATAATGCTGATCAGATAATACCACATGCTGATCAGAGGGATGTGGGTGGGATGTAATGCCAGAGTAAAGTAAAGCCACAACTTACACAAAAGTGCTCGTGATCATCTTTTTTCCTGACAAAATCAATATAATGCAATATTTCTATCTGCTGAATGTAAGCTTTTCCATATTCCAAGCTTGCCTGCTGCACCAGGGACATCACATGCATGTGCGAGTCGTGAAAATCATGAAAATAAATCTAGGAATTATTTGATTGTTGGATTTTAAATCAGCGGGGTTGAGGCATCCAAAGTAACTAAGTAACTAAGCTGTTTTATGGATGGTAACTGTAATATTATTACTGAAATGTTATTAGTAATTAGTTACACTACTAGTTACTGCAAAAAGTAATATTATTACAGTAACTAAGTTACTAGTTACTATTACTGCCCAACACTGCTTATATATTAATTGCTCAACTTTTTACAGCCATTCATTCTCATATGAGCAACTCCTAGCTTTTTAAACTTGGAGTTAGACATACCCCAAAACATGAAAAATAATTTGCACTACTTTGGATCACAAAACAACTTCGCATAAATATTAGGAATTATCAATGTCATTATTATTATTTATTTTTGTGTGTCAATAAAGCAGAAATAAAATGCATATTCTGTATATTGTATATTATCAGAACATATGTATTGGTAGTGGTCACAAAAACTATATTGATTATTGTTAGAATTTGTCATTTTTACTTGACTTCCATCATTTTTTACAGTAAATGGGAATTTTAATCATGCAATGTTCATAGAGTTTATTATAAAATTATATTCAGGTTTTCAGATTGTGTGACCACTCTCCACTCTCCAAGACCACTTTCGAACATTTAAATCTGCAGTGATAGCTTTTTGTGTCCTGAAATCTACTGCAATGAGATCATCCACTGACCCACTGACCTGACTACAATCAGCTGCCCTGTTGTGACCTGGATTGTATTCAGACAGTACTCACATAAACACTACTGTTTCAACTGCAAGCAGCGCAATATTTCAATACATCCACACTGGTGTATATTCTCTGCACATAATCTCCATCCAGCTGATGTATACAATAGAAGTTTATGATTAGATTTCAACACAGCACTATTCATCAGCATTGTGTAATGAATGCTCATTTATATCAATACATTTCTGTTTTAGTTTTGTAAGCATGAGTCATGACGTCTTTTGTTCCAAAACATATCCATAATGGTGTCTGAATGTATTGGAAACAAATAGGACATTTGCCAGTGCAGCTAACCAAACATTTTGAGCAGGTTATCAAATGTGACCACACACACATGCATTTACTCATATGATCCCAGTACTCCTTAAAAATAGCTTCTTTTCTGATTCAAACTCAAACCTGAGATGGACTAACTTCGTTCTTCCTCACTCTGCTCAGGACTACTATACAGACTCAAACAGAAAGGTCCATAAAGATGCGCTGCAGAGCTACCAGCTGCTGTACGGCAGAGAGAATGACACACATACCGTTCTGGCTTTCAGCAGAAACCTCCAGACCTGTGATGACAATGACAAAGTCATTACGGTAGGTTTGACTGCATGCACCATTACATCTGGCTCCGTAAGTCTGAAAGAACCATCAGTGGCAGTGTTTGTAACCAGTTTTTGGAGTCATTTTTTGAACTCTTGGTTGTAATTTTAGCACATTGCCTTTTGTTCAGGGGAAATAATAGTTCAGTATTTTATTAAGGAGTTAAATAAACTCACTTCCCCAAAATGTTGTCAAATTATTACTTGTATAGAAAGTCTCTTGCACTTAAGTCTACAATTACCCATAATTTGTCAATGCCCAGGGCAGTACAGTGAGAGTGATCTGGGCGTTCCATGCGGAGGATGTGAGAGTGTCAGGACCAGTCTACCATGGGACGAACAGAGGCAGAAAGAGTCTGCGATTACTCAACCCTGGAACCAGCTCCAGCATCCCAGCAGGAACAGCTTTCTTTGACCTTCAAAACGAGGAGGTGAGGAAAGTGCATTCAGCAGACTGCTGGAGCGTTTGATGAGCTAGGAGTGACAGAGAACGGCTTAGCCCTAGGCAGTGTTATACCTACTGTTTCATCTATTTTTGCATGCTTAGGAATCAAGGTCCTTGTGGTTACATATGAATCCTTTTTAAAATACAAACCCTTTTGCTTCCTGATTGGGTATTTTGAATGAAAACAAGGCCCCTTTTATGCTTGTGGGATACTGCCAAACACCAGATTTAATAAGAGGGCACATATTTACAACCGCATAACAAATACTCAGCATTGAATAGGGGGAAAAAAATGGAAATGGGATTAATAAAACGTCCATGCTCTCCAGTCCACAATGGAATACTTCTGCTTGTTGCTGTCTAACTGCTACATTTAACTATTTTGTGACTGATGCAAATATTCTATCTATACATTTGTTAACATGTTCAAATATTGTAGGTTCCTGTACCGCATAAGGATACAACGTACTGGTGTCAGATCTTTAAATTTCCAGAGCTGAAGAAGAAACATCATATAATCAGAGTGAGTAATAAAATTCTTTACATTTTCAAGAATGCCCATCATAATCAAATCATAACGGTTTAAAACATTTAAATTCATTAAAGGGGTCATATGATGTTGCTAAAAAGAACATTATTTTGTGTATTTCGTGTAATGAAATGTGTTTATGTGGTTTAAGGTTAAAAAACACATTATTTTCCACATACTGTACATTATTTTTTCTTCTCTATGCCCCGCCTTTCTGAAGCACGTCGATTTTTACAAAGCTCATCAGTATGAAAAGCGAGGTGTGCTCTTATTGGCCAGCTATCCAGTGCGTTGTGATTGGCCGAATACCTCAAGCGTGTGGAGAATGAAACAAAGTAAGACGCAGACGGTCAAACACACAATCATCTTCATTAAAAGTAGTAAGACAAACGCATCTTTCCAGTGCTGATGCCACGTGCTCTCCTATTGCGGTCTTTAATCTTGAAATTAGCTGATAAAATAATAAAATGCAGCGCTTATCTTTTTGTAAATATAGCGCGAGAATTGAAGATCGGATTTAAATTTGTTTTGCGACGACACATTTATGTGCCAAGTGTAAATGGAAACGTTTTAACAAATCAGATAGATATCCGATCAGCGAAAACGCATGAAATGACCAGGTATAAACAGGCCCTATAAATATAAGCCCTGTGTTGTTTTCTGTTCACTGTCTTTGCGCATAACCTGGTTGTTCTGTTCTGTTCTGTTCCTGTTCCTGTTTCCAGTTTTGGATTTTGTGTATATAAAACTAAATTGCTGTGCTTAGATCCAATCTCTCAACTTCATTTGCAACCAGGCTGTGACAGCATCATATAAGAAAGGACTGTTTATAATTCACTAGAAGGCCTAGAGTGGGCGGAGGCCGGCTTGAATGAGCTGCGGCGGGCGGGCTTGAGAACGCTGCGGCCGGCGGATTCGACGAAGGAGCGTCCGGCGGGCTTGCGGCAACCACATGTGACGACCCTGGGCAGGACTCCGCTTCGTCCACAGTGAAAGCCGATCTGGCGATCCACAGCGCCAAGTTTATGTATTTCCTCAGCGACCAGCACGGATCAGCTCCAGGCTTGATGAAGAGGATATCGTCCTCTTTTGGAAGACCAAACAAAAGTAGTTTCGCTTTCACAACGAAACACACAGCGCCTTCCCAACATGGCATCGGTGGCAACAACAATACTACAGTGAGAATAAAAGTTACGCCTTCTTTCTTTGCGTGAACATTTGGGCGGCGTTATGCAAATCTTCCCACATCGTGACGTAGACATGTGGGGGAGTGTTAGAACGAGCCGTTTTAGGTAGGCGTGGTTGACTCTTAACTTTTATAAAGAATATCTCTTTGGATTTGAGACTTTAGTCTTTGAAACTTTACAGATCTTCTTTATGCACCAAGAGCTTGTAACACTCCAAAGAGAAAGGAAAAATTTAAATCTCATCATATGACCCCTTTAAAGTCATGTTTTAAACCAGAGAAGATATACAGCGACTGTTATTCCAGAGATGCATGCTTAGGAAATTACAGGCTTACATATTGCCAATTAACTGCTCCCTGTTGTGAAGTACCTTCTACTATTTCAGTTCACTTCTTCTGTACTTACATTTATGGGCTTTCATGAAGCTTGTGCATTTTCAGATTCCTGTCAATTAAGTACTGTTATTAACTGGCATGATCATCTTTACAAAATGTAAATGCCAAGAAAATCTAGATAATACCAGTGTTGGGGCAGCAACTTGCAAGCTACAAGATAATCATAGTATGAAGCAATTAAACTTCAGTCAAGCTTCTGTTTTTAAAAGTAGCTACACTAAAATATATATTCCTGGTACAATAACAATAACTTACATAACTATGTCGGAAACCTAGCACAACAACTCGAATTGGTGAATCATTTTTGTGAATCTGTTCATTTCTGGATGAACAGATTCCCTCAAATGATATGTGAAGGAGGACCACTGCGAACAATTCACAAGAATTAATCAAACTTTACAATGCATCTCTCACATGTATGTTCTGTATATGTATGTCGTTTGACCTAGTTTCCTGTGTTCCTACTTACCCGCAAATAGTTTATCTTAGTTACTCATTGATTTGATTAGTGTCTGCACCTGTTTGATTGGTTTGTTTCATAAAGGGGCTGTTTACACCTGGTCACTTCATGCGTTTTGTCTGATCAGATAGCTATCCGATCGTGAAAAGACCAGGTGTAAATGCCCTCCGAAACGCATTCGAGACGGATATAATTCCGGTCGCTCAAACCACTTCAGGAGGTGGTCTGGGATGCATTCCAGACGAAACTGGACCGAAATGTTAAAATAATAAACGTGTGAGAGCGTGTTATAGGCTATATGACATTAGTCAGACTGCGCTAATGCAACACGCATCGCCACGGACGAGTAGCTGAGTATCTCTTCAGCAAGCCGACGTGCAAACTGCCGAGAATGAAACAAAGTAAGACGCAGACGGTCAAACACACAATCATCTTCATTAAAAGTAGTAAGACAAAC